TCCTTTGGACAGTAGAAGGTTTGCGAAATTTTTGGAAACTTCCTCTAGGTATATTGCATGTCTCTTTTAATATTAGGTTTTCCATAGGTCTGGTTGTTCAAGTTTGAGGAGAGGGTATTAGGTATTTTTTGAGTGTTACATGGGTTTTCACTAGGATCTTTCTAAATTGTCCTTAGTCTTCCTCTATGCCTCCATTGAGGCTACCTACGTTTCTTCTAGGGTTCCCTAGGATTACATTAGGTCTTCTTAGGATTCTACTAAGTTTACTTGGAAGTCCACCTAGCTTGGAGGATTTGGAAGACTACCAGAGGACTTGTAAGAGGACTTGAAAGAGGACTTGGAAGTCTCTTGTAAATTTCTACAAGAGTCCTCAGATGTTTCAAATATACTAAAGTTCACCAAATCCACTAGGTTTCACTGCTATTCTCCTAATCTTTCTTAGAATCTGATATTTTCAAAACTTCACAGATTTTCCTAAAGTTGCACTTCTAACTTTTCCTTACATTTTTCTAAGACCTCCAAAATTCCCTAGCCTGCTGGAATTTAACTTAGAGTTCCCTAAATTTCCTTGCGTCTATCAAACTCGATAATGTATCATTGTAATAACCTCAAATTCCACAAGACCATTTAAATTTAATAACCGTATCTTAAATTCTTCCTAATTACACCTGATGGAAAACCAAATGGAATATCCCGTGGAACGAGTGTCCGATTTCCTGTAGCGTCAGGAATCCTCTTAAGTTACCGCGCCACAGGAGTCAAGGAGCCAATCTCCTAGAAAAGGCACAGGAACGTTACAAGCTGCGAGCAAGAAGCCCTGACTGGCCCAACGGGCCCGAAAAATCTGGGTCGTTGGCCTGTCTGACTGCGTAGGCCACGATCCCTTTCTTCCATCATAGTTTACGCTCTGAACTTCTCGGATCTCATCCTTTTGTCATCTGACTTCTAATTTCAACTCTACGCCATAGACACATTATGTCGTCTTTTGGTCAACATGTTGAAAAAGTAGTCTAAACAGTTACTATTATTATTTTGGAACTTGTGGCAGGTCTGTTAAATAATTTTATGGTGAGACGCTTTAATGTTCATTTTCATATGCTTCATCGAAGTTCAAACGAGATGAACATAATTTTTGAAAGACATCATGTATTTATATATAGAATATTATTATTATTACTATTGTATGTATATTTGTATATTTAATGTATATTTAGGTGAAATATTAATAATCTATTGCTACATGTGATGTATTTAAACAAAATGAAAGTAAAATGTTCACTTTAAAAGCACGCTCAACATCTACAAAAAAGGCGCGCTTTTTGAATGATCTTAAAGACACTCCTCATTGAACCTCACAAATTTCAAATATTTACAAGAAAATTTTTACTATAAACTACACATAAACCTATACAATTTCATATTTTAATAATTGTATAAATTGATAAATGTATAAATACTTGTTAACAGTCAATCAAATATGTTAACAGTAAAACCAAAAAATAAAAAGATAGACCTGTCCGTTCGCTGTATACTTACCACAGTGTTCCAAGCAAAGACGTCACGAGACTGCCATAACCTTTAGGACCGTAACCCCGTTATATTATTACATTTAACAATGGAGGTCGTAGTCTTTATACTAACCGATGCACCGTTCGTACAATTCGTTACGGAAGCTGTCTCCTTTGTTTGAAGGTTATCCTGTCTTGTTGGATCTGTTGGCGTAATTTGATGCGTCTTCGGCCTCGAAGTGGGTGTACGGAGATTATTATGTGACCCCATGTGATCTGACTTACCGGTAGTCCAGTGCGTGCATCGTGACGTAGAAACAAGTTTCACGGGATTCGAGAAGGATCTATAGTGATTAGAAATTATTAATGTGAGCGGGAAATTTATGATTCGATTGAGGAAGGAAAACTGATTGTTAGAGGATGTTGGAGAGTTTCTCAAGTTTTCTTGTAGGGAAATTTTTGTAATTATAGGTATGAATTTTTAAGTGTTTTATGGTGCAATTTTTGGGAGTTTCAAATTCCCAAATTTTTACATTCCCGCATTCCCAAATTTTCATATTTCTAAATTCCCACGTTTCCAAATTTCTATATTCCCAAATTTCCACATTCCCGAATTTCTACATTCTCAAATTTCCACATTCCCAAATTTCCACATTCTAAAATTCCCACATTCCCAAATATCCACATTCCCAAATTCCCACATTCCCAAATTTCACATTCCCAAATTTCCACATTTCCAAATTCCCAGATTCCCAGATTCCCAAATTCCCAGATTCCCAAATTTCCACATTCCCAAATTTCCACATTCCCAAATTCCAACATTCCCAAATTCCCACATCCCCAAATTCCCACAATCTCATATTCCCATATTTCCAAATTTCCACTATTTCCCAATTTCTACATTTCCCAATTCCTACATTCCCAAATTTCCGCAATTCCACCTTCCCACATTCCCAAATTTACATATACCAAAATTTTTTAATTCTCTAACTTTCAAATTTCTAACTTTTCAAATTTAATAATTTTCAGATACCCACATTCCCTAATACCTACATCCTCAAATACCTACATTCCCAAATATCTAATACCAAATTCCCTTAATAATTCAACTCCTTAAATTCCTAAATTCTCACATTCCTAAATCCCCAAATCTACCTCAACAAATTTCCCAACTGAAAATCTACAAACGATGCCATTTTTCCTAAATCACAATCCTCCCTAAAAGCACATATTCCCTAAAAACCCCCCTCCTCTAGTTCTAAATCATAAACCCACCTCTTCCAAAAACTATAAAGTTAATTCATTCTAGAGATAATAAAAATTTGCATCTACATAAACCAACACATAAAATTCCGATAGAAAATCCAAGATGGCGGTCACTGGTGCATCATCGAGCCGATTAAGTTTAATTACCGAACGGTTCGATTGTTACGGACAATAAACAATAATTAAACTGGAAGGTGTGCGTATTTAAGAAACGAAGACACGCAAGAGGAGCATCGCACGTGAGGTGTACGCAGAATCCGGCCGTGAGTCTGTTGTAGCCGCTGCCATACTTAAAGTGAAATAAAAGTAAGAAAAGGAGCACGTACGCGTGAGAGGAGATCCGGATACGCGGAACACGCAACGGAGGAGCCGAGATCTCTGTGTGCCTTCCTGATTGGCTAGTCCCATAAATACGCGGAGGGTTCGTTTCGTCGTCAAGTATTACACAGCCTGCTTATTTCGGACCGAAAACTTGCTAACTTTCACCTTGCGAATGTCGTATACGTTCCGCTTCGATTAAGCTTCCACGAAATGGCAAACTTTATCGTTACCGATGGTCATTTCGCGTGCCAAGAGGATCGTGCGTTAACCTCGGGAATGACACATATCGATGAACTAGTTTATTTTTTACTTCTTTTGTTCATTTTGTTTGATGACTTTGTCAACACTTTCCTCTTCATGTGGCCTTGAAGAACGTTCTATTAAAAAAATGACATGTTGACAAGTTGAAAAGTATATGATTAAAATCATCAATAATTTTACAGAAAATAAAAGATCTTAAGAAATATTGAATGAGACAAAGATGCAATAAAACTTGAGTTAAAAAAATTCAAGTTAATAGAATATAACTTGTTAAAGTTTTAGTCAAGAAGATTTAGATTTATAGAATTTATAAAATTAGCAAAACTTGAGTGAACAAAATGAGGTTAGTAAAAGTTGAGTTAGTAGAATGTGAATTTAGGAACTTGAATTATTAAAACATTAGAAACTTGAGTTCAACTAATTTATGTTACAGAACGTTGAAGAATTTAAGTCAGTACTTAAATCAAGAATTAGGTTAGGTTAGGTTTAGGTCATTAGGTTATATAGAATGAGTTAAATTTAAATTATAAGAATTTTAACCTTGATTTTAACAAGTGAACTTGTATTTTACAGAACGATCAACAATAATCAACAGCCATGAATAAAAAATAAAATGGCTATGAGTTATTATTATTTATAATGAAGTTGATGATCCTGAAGAAGTTACCAAAAGTAAAATTTTCAGACTAATTGCCAAAGATTGAGGTTAAGTAAGATGAAGGTTTAAGGTTATGAAAGATGAAGGTTTGAGGTTACAAAAAGTTAAAAGGGATGAAACATGTTAAGAAAGAAAGGTACATAAAAACAAATTGTCATTTTCGTATTACGGTAACAATCATTTAATCGAACATTTGTTTTATAAATAATCCACATCATCTGACTTTATACAAATTACAATTCCGCAGCCACCGGCAACACAGGACACAATGCCAACGAGAATTCGTGGATCGATTAAGGAAGGACGATCTCGGGTATAAATTAACATTATCGATCCTCGTATCGAACGAAAAGCTAAATGAGTATTTGTTCGAAAGTAATCGCGGTTTAGAAAGCATAACGGGTATCACCCTCCGTCGGTCGATCCATCGAAGGCTCTTAATTCGTCCTTGACGACGATTCCAATGTAACGATAAACTAAATAAAATTCCTTTTGTGATTTCCTTATCGAAAAAAAGAGATAACCCGTAAACAAGCCTGGACAGACACGACCTCTGTATACAAGGAAGAACGTTCGCATCTTCGAAGAGGATGTTCGAACAATCCTTACAAAACTGTTGTCGTACATGTTACATGTTTTCAACGGTGCGTCAAGATCAAAAAAAGCTACAAAAATGGGGGTGAGGATAAGTGAGGGACGAGAAACTTAAATAACAAGCGGCTATCTTACAAAGGTAAAAAAAGAACCGTCAGAAAGAGGAAGGGAAGTGGAAATAAATAACAAGAGAAAAGGACTGCGGATAATGAGACCGTGAAAGTATATATATAATATAAAAGCATTATAAATAAGGGAACAAGCGATAGAATCTAATCTCTGACAAAAAAAATAATTAAAAAATAAAAATAAAATGTAACGTATTTGGAAGAGCTTAGGTACATCCGTAGCGAGACCATACGCTCAGTCCCGCCTCTCGTAGTTTTCGTCACTTCCGTTTACGTCTATTTTTTATGTTACAATCTAACTATCTATATGCATATGTATATATATACTCTCTCTGTTCGAACGTTCGGCTTCTTTTTGTTCACGTACAGTAAAACCTCGATATTTTCCTGCGCCGGGAAATTAAGAAGGCGACGTCATGCACAAGGTTTGCAGATAATTCTGTGATGCTTAGTAACCGTTCGATAAATGCTTGCTCGCTTAACGTATGTTAGGACACGTTCATACATGTCAAAGTAATTCGATGTGATTCAATTCAATAATTAATTTGAACCAATTCGAAGTGTTTTGAATTTTTAACTCGTTCGATAAACGCTCGATATATTACATGGTAGGAACTCCCGTTCGATAAACGAACGCTCTTTATCGTGTTAAAAATTTCCTTCATCCATTAAATGATGATCTGCTTAAAGCACCGATCGCGCGCATTTAACGAACGATTACTATGCCAGATGCATGCGTATTCCCGTAATATGTTAAGAATAATATCTTAGAAACATCTCTTTTAATAAATAACCGTGAGTAAGAGAGCAACCGAAGCCCCGATTGCGAGTATTTAACGAGCGGCTACTGCATCAGATACACGCGCACTCCGTTGATGTTAGAAACGTCTCCTTGCTAGACTGCTTGTTAAATGACCGTATGCAAGAAAATAACCGTTCCTTAATCGTGAGCATTTAACGAGCGGCTATTTGCGAGCATTTACGCGCAAACGAGACGTTCCCAAGGAATCCAGCAGAAAACTATGGAGGTTTTATTGTATATACATATACGCACGTACCCGCATACGCGTGCCCTATTATCGATATTTACACACCGTGTTACAGTGGGTTGCACTCACTCATAACGTCGTCAATATTTTAACACAGCACGAGAGATCATCTCACTTCCGTTGATCATTATCCTCGTAAAATCCGTGGCCCCGCCAAGGAACCGTGGTTCGAGTTCCGATAAAAGGCTTCATACCCATCTACCAGTGTCTCGATCATCTTCGATATTGCACCTGGGGAACTTTGCACTGTCAGCATATCTTCGTCGATGTTCGAACTGATCCGCTCAGGAGGGCAGTTAACACCCCGATCAGGTTCACTCCCGATCGACGTTGCCTCGCCGTTAGGTACTTACGGTAAAATGGTACTCTCAAAGCATTCTCTCAGACCGGAGAAAAGAACCTGCTCGAATCTAATCCCTGCCGATCCTCTTGTGAATTTGTTGATGCTTGATGAGATGCGCCTTCTGCCTGAACGCCTTGCCGCAGACCTCGCACCTGAAGGGTTTCTCGCCCGTGTGCGTTCTGAGGTGCACCTTGATGTTGCTCTTGTTCAGGAATCCCCTGTTGCAGATGGAGCACCTGTGCACGGGTTTCTCCTTGCCGCCGATCAGCCCAGACTCGGTGCCGTAGGGCAGCGCCGTCGCTGCACCTGGGCTTTTCTTCGAGGGGTTCTGGGAACCCGGAGTGGGCCGCGACCTCTTTCTGGGGTGCGACGGCGCCGCGAACGAGGAATGCAACAAGTGATCCGGACTACACGAGGTGGAGACTCTGCCGGGTGGACTGACAGGTGGATAGGGACTGGTGGACGAAGGGGTTTCCCCACATGACGCATTCTGGAGGCCTGCACTCGCAGATTGCAACCTGGCATTGAGCAGAGGCGCGTAACCGTGCGTCAGCAAGCTCTGCAGGGTCGAGCCGTGTTGTTGGGTCTGCGTGGAGGGCGTCGCCGTGGCGTATATCTGCGAATATGGACTGGGCGATGACGTCTCCTGCGCTTTCGGCGAGCAAGCGGTATCGATCCACTCGGCGATGTCGATCCAGTCGCGGGTTGCGTCTGGATCGTGCTCCGAACCAGGTCCATTTCCTCCACCGGGAACCGTCGTGTCGGCGATCGCTGATCCAATGATCTCAGCTATGTCCTCGATGTCGTATTCCACCTGCTGTGTGGACTGCGGCAGCTGTTGTTGGTGATGGTGATGCTGCTGTTGTTGCTGTTGCTGCTGCTGTTGCTGCTGCTGATGTTGGTGGTGCTGTTGCTGCTGCTGCTGCTGTTTCTGACTGCCTTGTGGGCACGGTGTGCTCGAGGACACCACGGGAGACTCGTAGTACTCCTGATTCGAGGAGGACGTAGGCGAGGACGAGGGTAACGACGGCCTCTGCGCTGACGACGCTATCGTGTGATAGTGGTGTCCAGGTATCCCATTGATGCTCAAGTGTCCCGTGTATCCCGTGAACGGTGGAAGAGGCTTCAACTCGGCCAACGACTGGGCCGTGTGCGTTCTGAGGTGCACCTTGATGTTGCTCTTGTTCAGGAATCCCCTGTTGCAGATGGAGCACCTGTGCACGGGTTTCTCCTTGCCGCCGATCAGCCCAGACTCGGTGCCGTAGGGCAGCGCCGTCGCTGCACCTGGGCTTTTCTTCGAGGGGTTCTGGGAACCCGGAGTGGGCCGCGACCTCTTTCTGGGGTGCGACGGCGCCGCGAACGAGGAATGCAACAAGTGATCCGGACTACACGAGGTGGAGACTCTGCCGGGTGGACTGACAGGTGGATAGGGACTGGTGGACGAAGGGGTTTCCCCACATGACGCATTCTGGAGGCCTGCACTCGCAGATTGCAACCTGGCATTGAGCAGAGGCGCGTAACCGTGCGTCAGCAAGCTCTGCAGGGTCGAGCCGTGTTGTTGGGTCTGCGTGGAGGGCGTCGCCGTGGCGTATATCTGCGAATATGGACTGGGCGATGACGTCTCCTGCGCTTTCGGCGAGCAAGCGGTATCGATCCACTCGGCGATGTCGATCCAGTCGCGGGTTGCGTCTGGATCGTGCTCCGAACCAGGTCCATTTCCTCCACCGGGAACCGTCGTGTCGGCGATCGCTGATCCAATGATCTCAGCTATGTCCTCGATGTCGTATTCCACCTGCTGTGTGGACTGCGGCAGCTGTTGTTGGTGATGGTGATGCTGCTGTTGTTGCTGTTGCTGCTGCTGTTGCTGCTGCTGATGTTGGTGGTGCTGTTGCTGCTGCTGCTGCTGTTTCTGACTGCCTTGTGGGCACGGTGTGCTCGAGGACACCACGGGAGACTCGTAGTACTCCTGATTCGAGGAGGACGTAGGCGAGGACGAGGGTAACGACGGCCTCTGCGCTGACGACGCTATCGTGTGATAGTGGTGTCCAGGTATCCCATTGATGCTCAAGTGTCCCGTGTATCCCGTGAACGGTGGAAGAGGCTTCAACTCGGCCAACGACTGGGCC